ATATGTCAGAGTTGATCTAGCAGTCAAGAATTTACCTCTTGTTTTTTAAGATACAAATCTAGCAGTCTCCTGGGTGATGAGCAAAAGTAAAACTGAAATAGGGATGGAGCTTATTAATTTAATGTTTTAAAACAGTAAGAAACAGATTTCAAACAAGCCACAAAAAGCCTATCACAGAGATATCCTTGGAACTCTCAGATATCCTAGGCATTTGAACTACCTGCTCACACATCTGTTTTGACACAAGTAAATGGTTTGGGTCAAAATGAGAGAGTTGGCAGTTTTTTGCCCCACACAATTCTAGCACTCTCACTCCTTGTCCTGTCTGCTACAATAGAAAAAAAATTAAAGAGATTAAGAACAAAAAAAACATAGTTCAAGTGAACCAGTTTTGCTCTGGTAGCAGAAGAGAGCAAATAAGCAGCACTCCAACAGTAAAAACAGGCTTTGAGAGGGCAGGAACATCCAAGAGATTATTACTTCTACCTCTGAAATGCTGCCAGCTTGTGCTTGCATTACAAAGCAAAGTCAAACACATTAGTTTAAAGGCCAATGGCCTGCAATGGAGCAGAAGAGAGAAAAAGCTCACATTAACCAAGCAATAGACTGCTGAAGGCAGCAACCAGTTTCTTTTATTAGTTGCTATCTGCCAGCATAGTGCATCTCTTCTATCTCTGTACAAAGTCTAAGGGTTAGCTTAAACAAAGTGGCTTGAGGTAAGCCATCTGTCTGCATGTGCATGAGCTAGGCTGCCTACCAGCCCGTCATCAGGTCTCAGCTGAGAGGCAAGAAATGCAGCTTCCTAAACTACCCCTGAACTGTAAGCCTTTAGAATACAACCCTTTTTTTAATCTAAATACAGTAAACCAAAATTTTCATCATAGGCACAAACACTCCTGTGCTTCATCAAGGTTTCCTGCCAGTCAGCACTTACCCATGGAAGTATCACTGGGGTAGAAGTGCCTGGGTTCCATTTCACACGTGCAGCAACATGACTGTAAGTTTGGCACTGCTAGTATAACCTGGAGGCTTCCCAAAGAACAAATTCTCAGTAAATTCAGCTGCTGTTTGGCTTCTGTTACCAGATTCTGAACACCTTACCCCATGATATAATGCAGATATACCCAGAACTAGACTGCAGCACTGGCATGATGCCTGGTGATTATGTTACGAACACCAGAATTAAGATACCTCCAGGTAACACAAAGCCAACTTTAATACAGTCAAAGTCTGCTTTCCAAGCTTTATACCTATCTTACAACACCAGAGATCCCTCAGTTACCTTCAGGTGAGTTTTTATGTCTGCAGTCCTCAGACCAATGTACAGCAAAAAATCTTACTGCTCCTCTGAAAACTCAGAGCAAGGGGAGCTGGGATGGTATCCGTAAAAAACACCAACCAAACAACCAACCAACCAAACAAAAATAACGAGGGAAAACAAAAGAACAACTAAGTATGCCATGAACTTTTAGAGAACACAAAATTCCTCCCACCCCACAAAGGGTTGGCTTTAAGCCCAGAAGACTGTTTAATACCAACATATTAGAAAAAATTTGCACATTCCACGCTTTTACAGACTTTTTGTAGAGTACCCGATTTTCCCCCTTTCACTCCTCCATAGGAAGCTGCATACTGTTAAGATAAAAGAGCTTTTACAGCTCTGTAGTGAAGCAAGAAAGTATGACTATTTTCAAATCATGAATATAAGGTCAAGTTAGAAGAAAAACAGGTGGACCTAAAAGGAAAAAATATCCACGTGGAAAATTCATCTATTAAAAGGTCATCCAGCCAAGACTTCTTCCAAGAAAGAAAACCTCATCAAGGAGAAGGTTACTAGAGAACAAGAGAAATCTAGTCAGTAAAGTCTACCCAAAAAATAAGACAGAGGGACTTGCATCTTAAAACTAATACAACACAAATTCTTACTAACGCATGATAAATTCTTAAAATCCACACCTGGGGAAAAAAAAAGAGGGCACTCTTTCAAAAAAGGACCTTATTTATGTTTAAGGGAGGAATATTTCACCTGCACACACAAATTCACTAGACTGATCACTACAGCAAGGAAGAGGGCTGATCAGCATCTGCCACTGCAAAATTACAATGCGAGACAAGAACAAACTTTTGAGAAAGTTGACACACACATGCACAGAACAGACCTTCATGAAAAGCCTCATTGTTCAGGGTCTTGGGAACCTGCTGACATGGAGGGAAGGAATTATGTTGATGAGCTAGCTGCAGGGTTACTTGTCTGGTAGATTGAGCTGCAAAGATCAAGCTGAAAATAATTTGCAGTATTCACTGAATTCCCTTGCAGCCCTGCCACAAACTAGCTGATAGCTGTATAGCATAGCCCGCCTGGTTCCTTTATGGCAACAATCTCACTGAATTACTGTGCCATTTTTGGTTACATTGTGCATTATCACCTTTGCAAATGTGAGCAGCACAGAGATAAATAGGATACAGACTTCCTGAGAGAGTCTTATAGAACAACCCGTATTGTCAACCACCTCTGAAGTGACAGTCACAGACAATTAATCAAAATTTGATACACACTGCAAAGAATAGAATATAATGAAAAGTAAGTCCACCATCACTGTCCAGTGAAGGTTAAGAAACCAATGCAGATATACCATATGGAATGGAGAGAAAAGCTGTTCATTTGGAAAAAATATGCTAGGATGGATGAGAGAAAAAATTTAGTGAGAGGCCCAAAGGATTACTGACTTTGAAAAACCACAGCATTGAAATGGATCAACCATGTTTTTCCATTTGCAAAATATCATACATTTGGTCTCTCAGACCTGTTTAATTAGTTTTATAAAATGCAAGGGAAGAAAAGCTGCAGCAAAAAACCCCTCCACCCAATGATAACTGAACTGTTGGCAGTTTTCAGTGTTTTAATGAACAAAGTAATAATCCTGAATATGTCAAGTAGAAGCTCTGACACTCCTCTCCACGCTCCCTAGCAGCTAATTATCTCTGACAATTTGCTTCAAAGGTGGATAGTGTTGCATGCCTGCTACTTAAAAAACATGAAGCAGCTGAATTCAAGCCATTCCTTAATGCTTTTCTTAACTTTTAGAGGTACTGCTCACTACCAGTAGACAAGGACTGTGCAAAGCTACCAGACAGCCTTTAAACCCAATAAAACAATTAAAATCAGTATTGTGTTTTAACCAGCTTACTCTACTCAAAGTATGCATGAGTAAAAAAAAATACATTAACAATACTTAGTGCTGAGTGTGATGAATATGTAGTGATAAGCGATTGCTTGCACTACTCTCAGAGCAACTGATGATGTTTTTATTCTGTGTTGGGAGGAAACAGGAAGCATTTTGGTAAACATCTGGAGCCTGTATGTTTCTGTAAACGATTTTACTTGCAAAACCTCAGGCTAGCTAATGAAGAATTATGCATTAGCATAGACTAGCTGAGGCCAAAGTATCCATTAATTAGGACTTGAGCCACTACTTTAAAAAATAAATAAATAAAAATCGGCCCACTCCAGTTCCTCATCTAAAAGTGCATCTACACCACACTGCAACAAACTTTACCTTCATTTAAAAAAAACCAATATTTCACCATTTAAGGAAAATGCTTGCAGATACTGGTTCTACAAACTGTGGTGTGCTAGGAAAAGGAATTACACTCTGAGCTTCTAAAAAGTTGGCAAAAAAGTTGAGTTTCTGCCTGAATTCTCTCTTGGACAGGGGAAGCAGATTTCTTTATATCCAAAATTAACCCATTTAATAATGCATGAGTTGTACTAGATGTTGGTAGCAACAAGAATCAAGAGAACATTAACTGTTAGAAAGAGGAGCACCATACCCTCTGAAGTTCAAAAGTCATCCCACTTGAAAAACATAATTAAAACTGGCACTGGCCTTAGGATATCTTCTGGGGAAGCAGCAACTAGATCCATAAAGGACCTGTTCAGATGAGAGACACCAGCCTGGCACAGAACACCTCATGTCCTCAGCCTCCTGCCATGGAGACAGGAGGAACCTTAATGCAGCAAACATCACAGCTCCTGCTTTCCCAGTTGCCTGCCAAAGCAAGAACTTGTGGACTCTAGAAGCCCCTGACAGTGCAGATAAGGCTCTGTCTCCTCTGCTTAAATGACTACCCACACAGATCCTTGTCTTTCCTTCTGGTGCCTCAGTCTCTTCATTCCACCTTCACTTCACACTTTTTCCTCTTCCTGTCCTCTTTTTTCATTTGTCCCCTTGCTTCACTCTTCCACATCTGCTTATCCCTTCATTTCTCCTGTCATTAAACTGAGGCTGCAGTAACAGACTATAATTAAAATTACTTCCAGCAGGGTCCCTTTCAACCTGCACCCAGCATCCGCATCCAGCTTCGGGACTCCACATCCAGCCTGGATTCAGAGAGAAGCCACAGCACAGAAAACTGACCATGATGCAGGTGCCTCAGCTGCAGAACATGTCATCAAAGCCAACTGCACGCACAAGAGTTATGTTTGCCTTACAGACCTTATGCTCTTGTTTTCTCCTCTCACACTCCCTTATTAGAGTGCAAGCTCTTTGAGGCAGAGATTTTCGGCTACCCGTTTAGCAGCATGTTTAGGGTAGCCAAACCCCATCACAACTGTCAAACAACAACCATGAATGAGAACAATTCTTATGGTAAGTGACAAACTTTGAAAATTGGCTTCTAGATCCACTTAGCCAGGATATTTTTCCTTTAAAAGGAAAAAGTAATCAGTAGACTACTTGGGGCAGGAATCCGAGATTTGAACAATTTCTCCTGCCTGCTGGAGAAAGCACAGATCATAGATTTTACTGCAATTAAACAAAAAAGTTACATTCTGAGTTTCATTTTCAGGACTTTTAAAATAAAAATCTTGTCTCTTTTCTATTCTAGAGGTTTGAGTGAAGTGAGCAAGGACTCCACAGTCCAACAAGAAAACAAGGCAACATTCACTTCTTCCAAAAGAAGTCCTTTCTCACAGTTTGAATGTAATAATTCACCCTTACCTCAACTTTGCTTCCTGGCTCATGATCTGCGGCAGCAAAGTAGACCACCTCCTGTACTTCATCCCTAGGCCGTGCAGAATTCTTTCCAAATACCACCAGCCCATCTTTAGAACATGGGGGGAAGGCTACAAAACAGTAACTTGGAGGAGCTGCAGCCATCCTGAAAAGGAAAGAAAGCATAAACAAACAAAACCAGTGTTTTTTTAATTCATAACTGTATACATTGGAGAATCAGTCTACTGCTACTAATTGTAACTAAGAAGGAATGCAGTCCCTCTATCTATCAGTTGATTGTCCAATGATAATGGAAGAACAGGTCAGCTCAGAGGAAGCTTATCTGAATTTAATTTTAAAAAATATAATAATTTTCATCATTTTTCACCCAAGTCTTTTGAAGGTATAAAGAATAGGAAGAAAAGCAAGATAACTGTACCATAATGCATTTACTTAGTCCCCACAGAAAGAAGATACTCTGCATTAGAGCTGTTCAGGAACATATGACCTAGATGTATTCTGCTGACTCAGACAAGTGCAGAGACACAGAATAATTTTAAATAATTTACTTTCTCTGCTCCCATGCACTTTAATGTTTTAAAAAAGGAAAGAGAAAATATGTTTGAGGGATTCCTGAGAGAGGACAGTAATGTAACTGGAAACAGAAAAAATATATAGTACAATTCAAAAACTGTCTGAAAATTAATCTACTTAGATCAGAGAGACTGAAGCAGTAATTGCCCTTTATTTTCTCTGTGGTTTGTCTGCATTGCTGCTCTTACTCAAAGCTAATTGATTGCAGTTTATTTGTTTATGCAGGCTAATATGAAATGTTTATATGATAATTTTAAGTGTTTACAATGACAACATATTAATAAAAAATGTAAACTGTTTCAGGACTATGACAATACTTTAGCTGGTCTTGTGTACATTTGCATATCTGACATTTTTTTCACCGTTCAGGGAAACTTCTGGCACATATGCCTACAAAAGGAAAAGGTGAGGTGTTTATCACTTGTTAAAATAGTACTCAACACAGATGTCTGAAATTTCTTCATAGTTCTTATCACTGCAATAAACCTCAGCCCCAAAATGAACAATTTTATTCCTCCACAATAACTTGAACAAGTAAAAGTACTTGCACACATTCAGACTCCTTAGAAACTTCCCCCCCAAAGATGCTTTTTTACCATTAACTTGCACCTGCTCCAAAGCATTCAAATTTCATTCAAAATGCTCAAAGCATTCAAAAAGCATTCATGAGGTTTTGGGTTTTTTTTCCAAAGCAGTGCCATTTGAGCACATACTTCTCACAGAACAGCAGGTTGCTGATATTAAACCAGAGAAAGAATGCCTTTTGGATAAAACCTATAATTCATAAAGTGGTAGTTGTTTGCCTGTGGACTATGAACAGGTCACACAGATGCTCAATCTTGGAAAAAAGGTCAAGAAGATATATGTTAACAGTGTCCTCTACCAACACAAGGTGAGGTAATGAATTGTCTAGGGAACTCACATCACCTTTCAATTTAGGTAAGATTATATACAAGAATAATCATCCAGGTGAGCTGAAAATGCATTAGGAAACAAACAAATCCCTTTTTACAAAGCAGAGTTTTGACTGGTAGGACAGGACAAGCTACTGTGAGCTGGAATGACTTTAGCTGATAAAATAGATCTGTCAGAGGACATCGACCTGCAGACGTGTATTGTGCCACTAGGCACATTATTGGTTCAAGAGGTCTTGCACACAAACATGGTGGAAAGCCCCAGTTTAGTTGTCACTCATCACCTGCGAGTCATCAGAGCATTTGTGATTAAACTGAAATGCAATATGTAGAGTGTTGCCCAACCTTTGTCACTAATGAAACCATTTAGTATTTTGCTATGAATTATTCCAAGTATGTACATTTATTTTGCTGTGTTGGTGATGTCACTGTAACTGTTTTCCTGCACTCTGAGTCCACATCTATCTTCAGGTAAGTAATCATTTAGTGCTCCAAATTTGTCTTCTGATGCACTGCCAGACCAGTTAAAATCTTGAATAACTTGCAGACTTATTGTGGATCTCACTATTCAGACTTACTGTGGATCTCACTATTCAAAAGAAATATTTCCTTTATTCTAAACACAAGTTAAACGGATTTATTTGAAATATATGAGACAGCTGAAAGACATTAGACACCCAAGAGCCTAGAAAAAAAGGTTAAAATTATATACAGTACTCATTTTAATTAATGAATACCCAAACATATTGGCAGATAGCCCTAAAAAGATGTGAAGGAATGTTTCAACACTATGTTACTGAATGAATATGAAGGTATGCAAGGCAGATATTTACATACCTACAGTCTGAGTAGGTAGGGAAAAGAATTAAAAGCTTGTAGGAATCTAATGCTCTACAGAGTTCTGAAACCCTCCCTGAAATAAAGAGACTCAATTGTATGTATTTGTGAGATTTTACTTTTTTTTCCCTGTTAAATATACCAAGTTACTGAATCAAAAACAAATTGCCATTTTGGTAATGCTTTTTAAGTATGAAAGTATGAGTAAGCTCCTCTATAACTAGAGTTCACTTCAACGCACAGAGTATTTTGTAAGTATGAGTAAGCTCCTCTATACATAGAGTCCCTTCAACACACAGTATATTTCATACAGGGGAGTATAGAACAGTTAAACACCAAGTTGAATATTAGAGCCTTATACTGAAAATGTGATTGTCATAAGAGAAGTTGGCACTGGGATCTTACATTACATTTCTAAAGAAGGAAGCCACCTAGCAGCCTACTACAGTTAAATCTACGCAGTTTGCTGGGTAGCACTTTTTCCTAGAACCTCATTTGGTTCATTTTAAATATGATAAAGATGGCCATTTCTCAGATACAACCACAACCTGTATTTGTTCAGAACACTTCTGTACTTCATCTTCCTCCATCACGTAACTAAAACAGTCTGTTAGCAGCCACCTATCTAAGCAGGACATTTCTACTTGCCTACTTCATTTTCTGTTTTTCCTTTGTTCAACTTGAGGTTGTCCCCGTTCTCATTTTCACACATTTGCCACCTCTTTGCCCTCTTACAAGGCACCATACTGACTCAATATCAAACAAACATTTTTCATCCACAGAAGGAGCAGAACACTCCTCCTTCACAGTACCTCTGATAAATCAGCCTGACTTACAAATCCACCTACTGTTATAATTCCTACACTTTTTTCACAGATTATTTACTCCTTCAATGAAAGGCATTCCTGAAAACCTTGGAAAACAAAAATGATTGCAAACAGATCTCAAAGGATACCTCGTTGACCATTCACAAAGTTCTTTACCAGAGAGCATCTTTGCATACAGGCCCAATTCTCCCAACAAACCATACCTGTAACCTGCATTCTGGTGTAGACAGAGGTAAACATACACCATATGTCTTGATTGCAAACCATTGTACTCAGAGATGGGTCACTTGAAAGTTAAGAGAAACAGGCACCATACAGACCACTATAGGCTATATCCAAAATCATTCTGCATATGGAAGCCCTGGAAAGAGACAAAGAGCTGTACATTATGCTATTCCACTACGTAACTGCTGCAGTTTCAGGGAGTTAACAGGCATCCTGCTTGGTTGACCTAGAATCACTGCAGGCATAAAGGTTGAAAAAAGAGGTGTGAGCAACAGCCACAACAGCCACACTCCACTTGCTATCTTTTTATTTGACAAAATATACTACAGCATGTGGTCATATTTTTTTCCAGAGTGTCCTGTGTTCTGACACTATGAAGAAGGTTTATTTAACAAGTTCCTTTATTAAGATCTTCTCTCATTGTGAGAAATCACATTTAACAACTGACAAGCCAAATTAATTTTATGAACATAACACCACTGTTGTCAATGATAAAACAGCTGAGTTCATAAGTACTTTGATTCAGAAAGAAAGAAGTAACATTCACTGGGCAATCATAGAATCAAAAAGGTTGGAAAATACCTCCATGATCAGAGCCCAACCCTTGCGTGAACACCACCACGTCAGCTAAACCATTGCACTAAGTTCTGTGTCCAGTCATTTCTTGAACACTTCCAGGAATGGTGATTCCGCCACCTCCCTGGGCAGTCTGTTTCAATGCTTAACCACCTTTTCAGTGATGAAATTCTTTCTGATATCCAACCTGAACCTCCCCTAGTGCAGCCTGACACCATTTCCTCTTGTCCTATCACTGGTTGCCTGGAAAAAGAGGCCAACTCCCACCTTGCTACAACCTCCTTTCAGGTAGTTGTAGAGAGTAATCAGGTGTCCCCTGAGCCTCCTTTTCTCCAGGCTGAACACCCCCAGTTCCCTCAGCTGCTTCTCATATGACTTACTCTCTAGACCCTCCATGAGCTTCATTGCCCTTCTCTGGACAAATGTCTGGCTCCAAACATCACAATGTGAAACAATGGGGATGACAATTTTAAGGGTTTTATAAATATGTCTGAACAACACTATACTCCTAAAATAGGGTAAACACGGACGTGGTGTTGTCTAGCACCACCTCAGGAAAACTAACCCATACTTGATAAACATACAATACTAATCTTCAGGTTGAAAATATTAAGACATGAAAAATACTCTCTGTCACAGTATGAGGACCTTAAAATTGCTGACATGTATTAAGAAGGCTCATAACTTCTAATTAGAACAATTTTTACTGTTAGAGTCAAAATTTACCCACATTCAGACTTTTAGAGTGGTCAACAAGAAATAAAATTGCTATTGTTTAAGTCTGTACATACAGGTTGTTACACAGTCTAATGAAAGTTTCACTTAGATGTCATTTTTTACTTATTAAAAAAAAGGAACAAACAAATAATGCTGTTATAGCAACACATATGGAGGAGGACAGACTGCAGCACTCTATCCTCTCCTCATGAACATGAGTGTCAGAGGCTGAAGCCATGCTCTTAGGAGAATAGAGACAGGCACAAAATAATTCAGTGTGTTTAAGAGCCTTCCCCCCCAACCCAAGAAAATCGAAATAGCTATGTATCCACAACAAAGCACTCTGAGCTTAGCATGACGGAGTCCAAACTAAAGAAAGGAAGATTTTCTTATTAACTTACTCTAGACTTCTTGTGGTTTGGGTATTCTTTCCAGAATAACACTGTGTACTTCTCTGAAAGCTGTAATTTGGTACT